TGTGTGTGTGTGTGTAAGGGGGGGGGGGGTAACAGGAAGTGAGATTTTCTTATCTTCTGATATTCCCAAAAGCACATGGCAGACATTTTGGGTCAGGCTGGAAGCCGATTGGAGGCTGGTTTCGGAGTCGGGATGTTGTCAGGGCTCGGTTTCCATGGCTACGTCTGCTACTAATTAACCCCCCCACTCCCCCAAAGCCCCCCCCGGCCGTTAACGAGGTCTGTTTGAGTCCGTGGGCCGTCCGTTTCCTCTCTTCCAGATGACAGAAAGTTTAGACATTTATCCTCCAAACGTCGCCGTTAGTCCCCCAGCGAAGGCCGTACGTGTGTGTGTGTGTGTGTGTGTGTGTGTGTGTGTGTGAAAGAGGGCGTGTTATTCCTTGACGAGCCGGTAGATGTGGTGCTGCGCCCCGTGCTCGTTGTTGGAAACCTCGAACACGCACGCCATGCACAGCAGCGTCTCCTGAGTGTCTCTGTTGCTCACCACCTGGACACACACACACACACACACACACACACACACACACACACACACACAAAACAAACACACACACTCGGGTTAGACACTTCACACGTTGCCTCACATCTGGACACCAGGTAAAACTCTTGACCCTCCTGAGAGCCCGTTCTTATGTGTGTCTTTGTACCAGGATGCTTCTTTTTTCTTTGACCTTTGACCTCTTGGCCTCATAACAGACGCTATCACTGTTTGAAATCTAAAGTAAAGCGGTTTTTAGACATTTTACCCCAATCGTTGTTCTTATGTTGGAATTAAAATGTTGTAAATAAGTCATTTGGACCCTCAGAACCAAATAGGAAAAACATGTATTTAAATATATAAACAAACAATTTAAATCTAAAGATAAACCCACTGAGCCTATATAAGTCATTTGGACCCTCAGAACCAAATAGGAAAAAAATGTATTTAAATATATAGACAAACATTTTAAATCTAAAGATAAACCCACTGAGCCTATATGAAGAAAAACTACCTGTACCAGCACAAAGTCTAGTTTTTAAACTTATTAGCTCCTGCCAATTCAGAGATCTGGAACAAAGCAAAAACACACCGGATAAAATCTTTGGCTCTCAGGAGGTGAAATCGTTCTGTTTTTAAAGCTTCACATCAAACTAAACAACTGTGAATGGAAGTTGCTCGAAATGCTGAAATCTAAACGGCAAGAAACTAAAACTGGAGCGTGATTTCCTCAATAAAACCATCAAATTTGATGCTACTAATAAGAATAAAGTGGATGGATGTTTTTCTGATTGTGTGCGTGTGAATAGGCCCCGCCCACACGCACCAGCAGGATGGTGAAGTTCTCCAGCACGCTGTTCATCATGTACTTCTCGGGCAGGTGCTTGAGCTTGTGGATGAAGTTGATCATGTATTCGCACATGGGCGAGCGGCTGATCCGGTACACGAAACGCCCGTTCTCGAACCGGGCGTACTCCGTCTGCCAGAGAAGAAGAGGAAGAAGAGGAGGGGAAAAATCAGCACCGGCCAATGAGGTGGGGCAGAAAACAACGAGCTGGAAGAGACCACAAATCCACTTTTCCAGGTTTGGGTCCAAAACTAAACCAGGCCGCTCTGAGTTTGTAACCACAGTTTGAACCTGATATCTGACTTTTTCTCTAAAAAAACAAACAAAAAGTGCCTGTAATTTTGATTAATTTGCACAAAAATGTTTGGCAAAAAATAGATATTATTCCCAAATCGCTGGAAATGAAGGATGTAGTGTCTCTGACCTGTAAAAAACATTTATTAAACACACTAAACATGAAGAACTGAACCTAAATAAGCAAAGGCATTTTGCTCGTCTGAAGGAAAGAGCAGAGTTTGTGTTCTTTAGCTTGAGTTCATTCTTTACTTATCGATGCTGTGATGAGCAGCTCGTCAGGAAAAAAGCACCAAAACACAAACAAATTCAATTTAGTTGAATTTAGTTTAAAGAAGAAAAAACAGTGCTTTAAGTAGGGTTGTCAAAAGTATTTTTACTTAAAGAAGTATCGATACTAAAACGTTGTGTTTATGATCATTAATGTGACGTTAGCCTTGAATTGCTAGCTGCGGCTAATGGCTAATAATAATACGCCAACATTAATCAGTCTGCAGGAAGCCCAGGATGGATATCCAACTCCGCCCACAGCCAAGTCGGCCATTTTGATTACATCACCAATATGCCTCATGGCAATATAGACATTAAATTAAAAATAGTTCAATTAATCTTGCAAACACTGAATTAAACTATATACATAATATTATGTTAAAATTGTGGATGTTAAATAGGTTTGTACAATAAGTCCAAACAAGTTTAACCAGAAAAATATTTATTTCTCACAATTATGAAGGGTTAGGGTTAGGGTCAGCGTCAGGGTTAGGGTTAGGGTTAGGGTCATTAATGTGAGCCACCGGCCACAATAACAAGTTTGAAAAGACACTAAGGTGTCGAAATTCAGTTAATTTTGGGGTCTTTGTTTTTATCCTTGTGGTATCGAAAATGGTATCAAGTATCGAACATCTTCCTGAGTATCGGTATCCGTAGTTGAACATTTTAGTATCGTGACAAACCCTATAGTTTTAAGTGAACTCCTTTTTTTTCGCCACAATCAAAACCCCCCACAGATATAACGGATCCTCCTCACCTCCACCTTCTCGACCACCTGCTTGCCGAAGGAGCAGACCTTGGTGGAGCAGGTGATGGTCATGTTCTCCGAGCTCTCGTACTGGCTGCTCACCCCGTAGAAGGCCGCCGGGTCGTCCATAACGCCGTAGTTCAGGTCCGCCTGCAGGACCAGAGCAGGGTCAGCGGCCCGAACCCCGAAAAGCCAGCACAGTGCTGCCCCCTGCTGGAGGGGGCTGGTATCTCCGGGGTTTTAGACTTAGACTTAGACAGTACTTTATTGATCCCTTGGGAAGACTCCCTCAGGAAATTAAGGTTACCAGCAGCTTAAAGGGCCAAAAAGTATCAAGTTAGAATTAAATTAAGCAAAAAAAATACAAATAAATAAATAAGAATACAAAAAATACAGATTTTTTTTGTTGCACACTGTGATTGAACCTACATCAAACTGCTTTTTGGGATGCCTTAACCCTATAATGCCAAATGTATCATATAGATACATACGGTTTCTGAAATGTTTTGCGTCTGACACCTTTTGCATAATTTAATGGTAAAAACTTTGCTCAAAATCCTATTGTACACAACCAGATACGCCTGATAACAGGGGGCAGAAGACTACACAAAAAATAATCTTGACTCATCGCATAGTAATAAATTATTAATATAAAATATGTGTTTCTGTTTTTTCTTTTTACATATTTTGTTAAAAGGCCAAATAAGGAATTCAAACCAAAAAAAAAGTAATTTTCTGTTTTGTTTTATTCTTGGATCAGGCTTTAAAGGGTTAAACCAGTTTGTGACCATTTTAAACCAGTTCACAGCGTCTGTGAAGACTCAACTTGGACTTAGTTTCCATTGCCTAGAAATTGTTGCCATTTTTTTTGTATTACATTAAAAAAGGAAGAAAAAATTAGCAGCAACAGGGGCGAAAAAACTTGTAAACTGTATGAAGAACATGTTACGTCGTGATTCACGCTGACTCCTTTCATTATCGTTTTTATACAAATCCTTGAGCAGATGTTGTGTATTGTAAGACGCCGACTCGATTTGTGACTATGACGACAATAATCTGTTGTGAGTCGGGGAACGATCTGTACCTGGATTACAGGAGGAGAGGGGAAGGGTGTGTACCGTTTGTAATGAGTTCTCCAAGGAGCGCCCTGTCTCTCAGGGCCCAGAACAAACACACAAACACCATATGCTAAACCACCCACACACACACACCCACACACACCCACACACTAACACACACACGCACATCAAACCGGGCTCTATTAAAGCAGCAGATTATCAGAAACATGCTCCATTGTGGTGGATCTGAGAGCTTTTTAATTAAATTCAGAGGGGAGGCTCTCCGCGTGACGCACAAACACACGCTTTGTTTTTTGGGCTGCGAGCGCACCTCGGTGTCCTGAAGCCACTCCAGAAGCCTGAAAGTTTCTGCCCCCCCTCCTTTACTGGTTCAACCGAATGGTTTAAGACGATCCAGTTGGGATATTTTGACACTGTTTGGCTCCTTGGGGTCCACTGTCCTGCAGGTTTTGGACGTTTTCCTGCTTCCACACACCTCACACTCACCAAACGGACCTCTTCTAAACATCATTTAGCGCTACTAAGCCCCACAAATAGCCCGTTGATGCTAATCATAAAGGAATAAACCGTGTCATGTGAATCCAACCCTGTCTTTGCCCTGTTTTAGAATGCAAAAAATCCTCCGATGGCCCTATTTTAAGATAAAAATAACTCTAAATTTAGTCCCATGAGCTTGTTTCATGACACAGGAAACAGAGAGAGGACACAAAACTGATGCTTTGATAAGGCTTTGCTTATTTTGGCCTCAAACCTCTGACCAATCCCGTGTCATCACTGTAAACTGTGGACAAACCGTCCCTCCCAACGCCACGCGCGCCAAAAGTTTGTGTAAGGAGTGATTTTTAAAGGCCGGGGCTGGCGCGAGGTTTGGGATGCAAGTCGTGTGGAGAAGAACGCTCGCACACACACACACACACACACACACACACACACTAACACAGAGAAAGGCGGAAAAGCTGCGAGTGGAGAGGTGAGCAGGTGTTCAAACAAAGCCGGTGAGCTTTCATCAACCCACCACCTCTATACCCCAGGTGGAAGGACGCACGCACACACACACACACACACACACACACACACAGACACACCTGGAAATGATTCAGACAAAGACGAGGCTCATCATGGAAAAGTACAGGGAAAAAAAAGAAAAAAAGAAAAGTGGGTTCAGTCTAAACCTCCCAACCAGGAGGAGGAGGAACAGGCTCAGACTGACCGGTGGGTGAGGGTGGGGGGGAGGGGTAGGATGGGGGGGGGGGGGCCACTCACCCAGAACTTGATCAGGTAGAAGGCGTTCTGCGGGCCCTTGGCGAACAGCTCCTTCAGGCCGCCCTTCTTCTCGGGGAACTTGTCGTAGATCTGCCGGATGTCCACGCACTCCAGCAGCGGGTCGCTGTAGCCCGGGCTGCTCTGGGCGATGTGCACGAACAGGTGCTTGTTGTACTGAGGAAGAGGAGGAAGAGGAGGAAGAGGAGGAGGATGAATCAGCGGAAGACATCACGACGGGGGGGGACATGCGGCTGATTTCACACCAACAGAGACGACCGTAAACGGGCCTCAGATCTAATCGTTCTTCGTTATTTCTTTACGTTTCTGACACTTCCAAATTTATTCAGATCACCTGTGCTGATTTATACCTGGTACTGATTTAAAAAACAAGCAAAAACGTTTTAAAAACGTAGAAAAGTATTAAACTGAGGCTAAGGACTGATCCCATCTGCAATACCGACTATCACCACTAGGGGGCCCGCACCAAAGCTTTGGTCCCTCTTCAATTCAAATTAATTTAAAGAGAAAAAAACAACCTTTTCCACAACTTTTTTTTAAATTCAGGAACTCTACTGATCTGCGTTTGTGTTTCCTGGGTTTAAGGCCCTGAGGGTGAGTGTTTTGGAGCTGAAAGCTGAGCTCCAGGCTTCAGGACGGCGGCTCATAAACGGATTAGCCGGGTCACCACGGCTGCGTCTGTTTCTCATCTACGCGCATACATGCAAACAGTCTGTGTTTGTGGAGGGAACGCTGTGAAAATGTGGGAATAAAGCGTCATTTAAGATGCAAAAGGTGGCGAAAACTGTGATTAGAAACCCGGAATCATCTCCAACCATCTGATTTAGATCAGACAAAAGCAAAGTTTCAGCTTTCTTTTAGGGTTTTTTTACCAAATGATCAGTCAGATCTGACTCCAAAGGCTAAATCCCACATCCTTATTCCTTTGCCCGACTTTATTATTCTCCCCCAAAACAATAGGGTGGAGTTACAATCATTTTTAGGGCTTGATAACGGCGGCCATCTTGCAGATCTATTTCTGCGCAGAAAAAAGCAGAAACTGAACCTCAAAAGAAGAAAAAAGAGAGAGGTAAAGCTCAGAGGTAAAACTGGGGGCGATTTCTGATCTCCCGAGGCGGCAGGTGGCTGAAAACCATGAGACAGACCCAGGAAATGAGTCCTGAACTGACCTCTGGGGGCCGAGCACCTGTTGGTCGAAACCATCTTTACAGCCAATTCGGGCAAAGAAACAAAAAAAAGAAAGCATTTTGAATAATGCTTTACTGCAGTGTTTTTCAACCACTGTGCTGATGGTCAGGTGTGCCGTAGAAAATCATCCTATTTCACCCAATTGGTCTAAAAAGATTTTTTGATAAGGAATTAATCATCTGCAAATAATATGCCATTTTTGAGTGTCTGTGCTGTAGTAGTGACTGGTGGCGTAATCAGGTAATAATTCCTTATTACTAGATTTGGTATCTAATTTTGTATATTGAAGTGGACATGTTAAGTGCAATTTGAAAGAAGAAATATAAAATATGTTAAAAAATAAATTTTTGTGTTTATTTGATTCCTATTCAAGACACTTAGGATAAGATAAGAATAACTATAGTGTTACTATAGATATACTACAGATTTGTTTAACATTTTTGGTTGGTGGTGTGCCTTGGGATTTTTTCTATGAAAAAATGTACCTTGGCTCAAAAAAGAAATATAAAATATGATATAAAAATACATTTTTGTGTTTATTTGACTCCTATTCAAGACGCTTAGGATAAGATAAGAATAACTATAGTGTTACTATAGATATACTACAGATTTGTTTGACATTTTTGGTTGGTGGTGTGCCTCGGGACTTTTTCTATGAAAAAATCTACCTTGGCTAGAAAAAAGCTTGAAAAACACAGCTTTACTGTATATTTCTGGGGGATCAGAGTGGAGGAAATCAGAATCTTCTCCCTTAACTCTAACAGGGAGATGGGACTAACACGTGCTCATCTTTAAATGTCGTCCTCCAGCTCTCACAAAAGCCGTTTGAAAGTCACAGTGGAGCATTTTTATGTACTGTCCAAACAGAGAGCGGCGAGATGAATGGCGGTCGAGGTGGAGAAACGAGGACGAGCCCTGGGAGTGACAGCATGATGGAGGGAACGGGCGGGCGGAGGGATGGAGCTTTACAAAGGTTATTCATACGGGGAGGCGCACACAGGCCTTTAATGCTGTTCTGCGCTGTAGGGCTATCTGTCATCTCTGTTTATGAGACAATAGGGAGTGCTTATCGTGTGTGTCTGTGTGTGTGTGTGTGTGTGTGTGCACTCACGGCCTCCTGCTCCCTCTGCGTCTCCAGGAAAGAGGAGAACTCCACCAGTCGTAGTTTGGTGGTGCCGATGGAGCGGCCCTGCCAGGCCGGCTCTCTGTGCGTCTGGGCGGCCGCCGGGGGCTCGTAGGCTGGAGAAAAAACGCACAAAAGTGGCACACACAAACCTGTTTTAACCCCGTAATGCCAAACATATCATATTTGATACGTAAGTTTCTGATGTGTTTTGCGTCTGTTTTGCGTCTGACACATTTAGCATAATTTACTGGTAAAAACTTTGCTCAAAATCCTAATTTACACAATCAGATACACCTGATAACAGGGGGCAGAAGACTACACAAAAATAATGTTGACTTATCACATAGTAATAAATTATTAATATTAAAAATTTATTTTTTGTTTTTTGTTTTTACATATTTTGTTAAAAGGCCAAATAAAGATTAAAAAATAAATAAATAAATTCTGTTTTGTTTTATTCTTGGATCAGGCTTTAAAGGGCTAAATACATTAAGAAAAGAGGTGGGACTTTGAACTGTTGAGCAAAGAGGAGTTATTTAGGTTAAAACCACATCATCTTTGCTGACGCGGCTTTTTCAGGTCAATTCGAAGCTTCTAAACGACAGACTTCTGGCTCATAGATGAGAAAAGTCAGGCTGACACGGCTTCTGTCTTTTTGACCTCTTAACCAGACAAAAGCTGGAGTGCAGCAGACCCAGGTGCTCCGACAGAGTCGAACCCTCGGTGTGATTTTGAGAGAGAGAAAAGATAATTGTGGCGCAGTTCGCTCTCACCTGAGATGGTGGTGGTCCCCGCTGTCTGCACCGGGTAGGCCTGCTGGGAGAAGGGCTTGATGCTGGGAGAGACACAGGAGCAGAGGGGGAGAATTACAGCCGGAAAAAAGGCAGAAAGAAGAAGAGGAAGAAGAAGACGAGTCTGACTGTGGAGCGCGTTACAAAAAGGTTTTCTGCTCTGTGAACGGAGACTCTGAGGTCAAGAGCCGCTCAGTAACAGGCCCGTTTAGATAGATAGATAGATAGATAGATAGATAGATAGATAGATAGATAG